AAGAGGAAGGTCTTCAAGCGCAACCTGAAGGAGGGGGCAGGAGGAGGCCATTCGGTCCATCCTGCCTGTACCGGCTCTTAGAAAGAGCGATCCAACTAATCCCACACCCTGACTCTTACCCCCAACTAGTCCCACTCCCCCGCTCTTACCCCAACTATTCCCACTCCCCCGCTCTTACCCCAACTAGTCCCACTCCCCCGCTCTTACCCCAACTATTCCCACTCCCCCGCTCTTACCCCAACTATTCCTACTCCCCCGCTCTTACCCCAACTAGTCCCACTCCCCCCCGCTCTTACCCCACAGCCCTGCACATTTTTCCATTTCAAGCACCTCTCCAATTCCCTTTTGAAAGCTATTATTGAATCTGCTTCCACCAGCCTTTCAGTCAACGCGTTCCAGACCCTAACAACTCTCTGCGTAGAGGAATTCTCCCTCGTCCCCCACACTGGCTCTTCTGCCAATTATCTTGAATCCGTGGCCTCTGGTGACCGACCCCACCCGTCAGTGGAAACGGTTTCTGCTTATTTACCCTCTCAAAAACCCCTAACGATGGTGAACACAACCTCCTCACAACCTTCGCCAAAGCAGACTCCAGCCACAGCCCAAAGCTGTGAAAGATGTAACAGCCGAGACAGCGTTAAAAGAATAATAATTACTGTGCTTTAACGCAGTACCTTCTCCCAGCTCCTTAGACAGCGGTGCGTGTATTGCCTGCCCCGTTTGCCTAAAAAACACATTTGCTGCACTTTACAGTGTTTCCTGTGAGACATAATGACATGAAAGGGGGGGGGGAGTTGGGGGGGGGGGGATGTCAAACCAACACAGTGGCCAACGTGTGCACATCAACCCACCCCCCCAGCCCCCCAACAGCAAATCTAAACTAGGAACAACTTGCGCATATACAGCACCCTCAGATAGCGCCTCAGAGCCTTTATAATAACCCTTGCGTTTGGTATAGCGCCTCCAAGGAGCTCTCACAGTGCTTCGCAGAAATTACTGTGGAGTGGAGTGGCTGTGTCCTACGTAGGCAAACTCGGCAGCACAATTTGCGCACAGCAAAGTCCCGCCAACAGCCGCGGAGTGAATGACCAATCTTACTTGGGGGAATTGTTGGCCAAGACACCGGGACAGAGAGAGAGAGAGAGAGAGAGAAACTCTCTGTTCGAACAGCACCGTGGGATTTTTAACATCAACCTGAACAGGGCGCAGACGGGGAGTGAGGTTTAATGTCTCACCCGAAGGACAGCGTCTCCCGACAATGCAGAGCTCCCCCCACCCCCAGCGCTGCACTGGAGTGTCAGCTTAGACCATGTGAGTTCAAGTCCTGATGTGGGGGCTCGAACCCACATCCTTCTGGCTCCTTTAGGCGAGAGCGTTACTGGCTGTTGCAGCGCCCGGAGGTCATACAGTACGGAGCAAACCTTAAATAATTCTCATCTTTTTTCCGCACGACAGGACAGGAATGTTTTATGTGACAGCTGGCGGCTCACATCAGGAACCGAGGAATCGATGGATCCTGTGATCCGAATAATAATATTCCTCGCATTTGATCACGTCGAGACATTTCGAAGGGCTTCGCAGGATATACTGTGAAGTGTAGAGACAACATGTGGCACCAGAAACTTGTCCCGCCTTTCACAAGGAGCAAAGAAATCAGATACAAATTACCCAGGAAAACTCCAAAGGTAACATCCCACAGCTACGACAACTTGCATTTATGTAGAGCCCCTCACACAGGGCAGGGTCCCGGAGTAGCTATTTTACGTTAAAAGCCCTCCTTTTCGACCGTGCCTTCGGTCACCCTCCTACCCCTACCCTCCACCCCTCCTGATCCCAACCACCAGCTCGGGTGTGGATGCCCTGACTGTCCAGCGCCTTTCGGATGCCCTCCCGAGGTCAAAGGCCCCGTGTAAATGTAATTTACTGTTGTTAAAAGAAAATTCCATGTTTAGCTTCTAAAATACTCCAACCAAAGCAGGAGGGGAAAGAAAAGCAGAATGCAACACTCCACCACCGACCGACCGACCGACACAGTAGCGCCAGTGTTAATAATCACTGCAACAAACTCACATCCATACAAACAAATCCCTCCATTTTTTAATTTAAAAATCCGTGGGTTTAGAAGGTGGATGAGGGATGATCCAATTGAGGTGTTTAAAACGATAAAGGGAATCGACGGTAGCTACGGAGAGACTGTTTCCTCTGGTGGGTGGGGGGAAATCCAGAACAGGGAGGGGGGGCATCATCTTAAAATCAGAGCCAGGGGGCCATTTAGGAGTGAAATTAGGAAGTATCTTTTCACCCAAAGGCCGGTGGAAATCTGGAACTCTCTCCCCCAAAAGGCTGTGGATTATGGCTGCATCCATTCACATCTCCAAGACTGAGGTGGAGAGATAGTTGCCCGGGTCAGGCTATCAAAGAGTATGGGGCAAAGGGCAGTTAATTGGAGTTGGGGTACAAATTAGCCAGGATCTGATAGAATGGTTGGAACAGGCTTGAGGGGCTGAATGGCCTCCTTATGTTCCGCTGATCCCTCGAGCCGGGCTGCCGAGAGATCGGGGAGAAACCTTGGAAAGAGGCAGACCAAAGTGTTTTCGTTCCCGTGAAAAAAAACCTGGCTGCTCCCGACGAGCTCCTTCAAAAGATCGTTCGGACGGATGACAGAACAGGACAGATTGTTCTGCTCATTAATTCAGGCTGTTATCTCGTCAGCGAGGACTGGAACAAGGCATCAGATGATGGGTTTCTTTTTTTATTGAACAAAAACAAAAGGTTCAATAACAAGAGCTTCTGTCTCAGGAACGAGAGCCAGTCTTTCCAACACACACACGCGCGCACACACACACCAGTTTCAGTCAGAGAAGTCAGCAACCGCATATCAGTTCTGTAGCACGCGCTTGATTCAGTGCCTTATCACGTCGTCCAGACATCTCAAAGCCCTTCACAGCGTCTTACTTTAAAGTCTATCGAGAGAGCCATCCGCACGGCAGCATTTGGAAGCACAGTACATTATCTAAATCACATCACACCAACAGCACTGCAATAAATCCTCTTAATATACTGCCTGAAACTAACACCCACTCCAGAGCAGTACCGAAGACGAGACTGAGTTTCTCGCTGAAGCCTGGATTCTTGGCGAGGTGAGGGCTAGTGTTGAGATGTTATCTCGCTGCCCCCCCCGCCCCCGCCCTGCCCCCGCCACCCCCTCCCCTCCCTGCCCCCAGCTGGGGTGTCTGGCCCCCAGAGGGGAGCACTTAGAGATGTCCTCCCGACGAGAGAGAGAGAGCGGCCACCGTGGGAATATAAATTGTGTTGTTACGGCAAGGCTGGCAGGACGCCCAGAGTCTCTACACGTCCGCAGTCAATTCGCAAAGTACACAGTCAGCTCACTTCACAGTATATTCTGTGAAGCGCCTTGAGACGTCTCGACAAGGTGACAAGATGCTACGTCAATTGCAAGGGTTAATATTACTATCACAATTCTCCCTGAACGTATGAAGTTCACGGATATGTAACTAACAGCAGTTATCCGCCCAGAGTGTGAAACCTCCTCCCCCGCCGCCCCCACCCGACACCACCCCGCGTCATGCTCACACCCAGAGGCATATCAGTGAATAAACGCTCAACTGTGGGAGCTTCAGTTAATCGGAAATGCTACAAATGCTCTCTTGAAGTAACTGGTGCCTGTTAACAGTAAAACAAGCGGAGTTGACAAGCGAGGAGGAGGGGGGGGGGGGGGGGAGACAGCAATGAGCTTTAGTTGAGCTCCAGTTGCTTATATATCGAGGCGTCTCAAAGCGCTTCACAGGATTTGACTGTCAGGTGTAGTGCAGGCAAATGAGTTACATGTCAAAATTCCTTACACCCCCCACCACCCCACAAAAAAAAATTCCCACAAACTGAAGCTAGCTGTGAATGGAAGGAAAGAACGAGATCCCAGGGATAGACCACTGCCCCCCTCCGCCACCCTCCCCGGCTCGACCCCGTGCTCCGCCATTGTTAAGCATCTCCGAGACTCTGCCACCGCCCACCCCCAGTGAAGGGCGCTGTGTAAATGCAAGCTGTTGTGGTTGTTTCATCACAGAAAGCTCTGTATGTAGAGTTGCGGCTGGTTAGCGGAGGCCACGGACTAGTTAGAAGAGATGCAGAGAGAGAGAGAGAGAGAGAGAGAGAGAGAGGGGAAGCGAGAGGGAGAATTAAAGAAGAGATACACGAACCAAACCAAGACCTTCAGGAAAGAAACAAGCTACAGGACATCCTGCAAAGTGTTGCGCTGGTGCGTTTTGTGAGTTTGACCCTTTGTGCCCCAGCCAGCAGCGTCGTGTGCTTTGAGACGTCCTCCCGCCGTGAGAGGCCGCCGTGAGCTGCGCAGTGTAAATCGTTTCGCAGCGACGCCAATCAATTTAGTGACCTTTAAAAACCTTTCACCGACAAGCAAAAGGGACAGCTTCAGAGCTTCCCCGGCTGAAAGGACGGACAGCGACGTCCGAAGCCGGAAGAAAAATGCTTAATAAAAGTTACAACCACATTTTGAGTGTCCCAGAGAAGTCCTGCGGTGTATCCCTCTCCCTCGTAACAGACTCCCCCACCCCCACCCCCCCGCCCAGCTGATCCGACTATTCACATCTTGAAAGGAACTGGGATGTTTTTTAAGTCTTAAAACAATCCTGTAAAAAATATATTATCTACAATAAATTCTTTAGCGCCCACGACCTGTGTTCCCTCCCTCTGGCACCGCAAGCCCCCGCCTACGTGACTGACAACACCTCCGCGCTCTCCAGGTCACAGCACCGGCTCCACCATACAGCGTTGGCTACAGAACGAGCTGTCAGACTGACCCCCCCCATCCCACAAGCAGCACACCCGGCCCCCAGACCCCTATGAAGTATTAGCAGAAAAACAAACTAGGTTTTGTACGCAAACCCCACCCCCCACCGCCACCCACCACCACTGATTGTTGGCGACAGTCCGAGGGACACAGCCCGCCCACCCGCCCCTCACTACCGGCCGGCCTTGGCATCGCCTATGGCCCCCCACACGTCGAAGACGAACTCGTCGGGGAAGGCAAAGTCTCCGAGCTCCTCGTCCAGAGCCTGGGCAAACTCGTCCGGGTTCAGCTTGTCCTTACCCAGGTCCACCATGGTGGCCGCTGTGGAGACACAAGAGAGAACGGGACCGCAGTGAGTCTCGGGACCGTACACGGTGACTCGGAATAAGAAACTCAGTAATAATAATAATAATAATAATCCTTGCATTTGATATAGCGCTTTTCACGTCGGGAGGACGTCCCAAAGCGCTTCACAGAACACACTGTAAAGTGAATTGACTGTATATTTGTGGGCGAACGCGGCAGCCAATTGCGCACAGCAATGTCCCACAAACAGTCGTAGATTGAAAATGACTAATTTTATTATTGTTTTTGGTTTTGGAGGGATTATTATTAGGCTCTGTGTGGAGTAAGGAAACTTGCCCAAGGTTTGGCCCTGTGCCATAATAATTATCCCACTTGATATAGAGCCTTATCACATCTTCGAGACATCTCAAAGCGCTTCCGATTGCCCCCCGCAGCGTCAGACAAAGAGCCGTGGATCAAATGACCAAATTGTTAACATTTTAGTTATTTTTTGAAGGAATTTATTACCGCCCCCGCCCCCCCCCCCCCCCAGAAAGTATCAATACTGTTATATTTGGCGCCTTGGGACGTCCACCTGACGCGAAAGGTGCTGCACAAATGGAATTTGTTGTCGTTGTTGATGCAGCGCCTTTCGAGTCAGGTCATCCCAAAGCGCTTCACAGGATATACAGGTGACCGTATGTGTTTGGGTGGGCGTCTCGCGAACAGCCGTGGAGTGAGGGGCACAGTTTATTTGGGGGATTTGTTGGCCAGGACGTCGGGGGGGCGAAGAGAGAGAGAGAGAGAAAAACTCCCCTCAGGATATTCGTCGTATTTCCCCCCGCTTCTCTGACTGGATTCAAAACACGAGGGAGAGGGGATGAGGAAGGGTGAGGGTTCGTATAGAGTATAAACACCGCCTCAGAACAGTTCGCCAAAATGCTTTGTTTCCGTTTTCTTTGGTCAGCCGACACAAATGTGGAAACCCATCGCCACGTTTAAAAGAGTCTCCAAACCCAACTGAGATTTCCCTACATCCCACCTTCACCTGGAAATCCCAGAGACAGGGATCACTGCCTGGCCAGCTTTCCCGCTGCTTGTCCAGCTAGGACCACCCTCCCCGTTAGTTAGTTAGTTGGTTGGTTGGGTAGTTAGGGCTTTGGCTGCGGGGTTAACAGGAGTTGAGGGGGAGGATTCCCTGCCCCCAGTGACTGGTCGGCCCTTCCAGGTCCTGCCGATGAGACAAGGCCGGGCTGTGCTGTCGTCGGCAGTGAGTGCCCTGGAACACTGCGGCCCCTCCTGGCTCAGGAACCGGGTCTGGAGACCGCCTGGCTCCATTCCGACAATCCATTGCCAGTTCAGCTCCAAGGAGACCCTGGCTGACCTCCCCGCCTCGCACTCCCTTAGCTGTGATCAAATCACAGGTTACGGCAGCGAGTGCCACCCGCGGTTCCACACCACAGCGTGAAGCCAACAAACCGAACTGAACACAGCACAAAACTGCAGGCGGCAGCGGTCTGACTCCAAGTCTGACCAAAGCGACGCTCAAGACAGAAATAATTTAATGTGAACACGTTGGCTCTGAGAGCGAGAGGGAAAGCGTGAAGCAGGCAGCACGAGCCCAGGGAATTAAGACGTCTAAACTTTTCTTAAAAAACACATTGCAGATCAGAGTGAGGAATCTGGAGCACAGCTCAAACAACCCCCTCTGATTTTCCTCAACAGGAAATTCAGTCTTCGCTGTGTTCAGGAAACCTCGTGAGCGGCTTCCTGGCTGGCGAATGAACTTGTGTCATTAAGTGCCACGGACGGGCGCCAAAATCAAACAAGTCAACCAGTTCCATTTCCGCGCAACCTTGAAGGAATCGGCGAGCGGTTAACCCTTGCCATCGGTTTCACCGTCCGACAGGCGACGCAGAAATCCTTCACAACCCTGACCTTTGTGGTGGGCCGGCAAAATAAATTCTCCTGAACATTTCTTGATTTATGGCATAAATTGCCCTGCACCAGTACGAATGTTCATGGGGGATTGGGGGGGAGGGTGGTGCGTGGGTACTTCCAGCACGAGGTCCAAAGGTTGGCAAACACTGACCTAAACTGTGCCAGGCCAGCACTTAAACGTCACAGGTGGCACCAATAGTCTGGACTTCACAGATGTTGCTGCATAACTGTTTACTCTGAAAGCACGCAAAGCATCTGCTTTTATGATTGGGGTTGTGAGAATTTGCTATGCTAAGCTTTCAATCAAGAAGCAGACAGACATGATGTTATCAACAATAATCCTTGCCATTTGATCCAGCGCCTCATCATGTCTTCGAGACATATTAAAGCACTTTCCAGGATATACATATTACAGCAACTCTGTATTTTGTGGGCAGCCATTTGCGCACAGTAGAGTACCACAAACAGTTGTGGATTGAGTGACCAAATTATTATTTTTCTGAAGGGATTATGTCTAAATCACTGGTGAGACCACACTTAAGATACTATGTACAGTTCTCGTCGCCGCAGTACAAAAAAGATATTGGAGAAATCGAGAAGATACAGAGGAGGGCAACCAAAATGATTGAGGGAACGGAGAGACTGGGCTATGAGGAGTGACTGAGTTAATCGGGCACGTTCACGCTGGAAAAGAGAAGATTGAGAGGCGACAGGATCGCTGTCTTTAAGATTCTAAATGGGCAAAACAATCTAGATCATGACCGGCTGTTTCAACTAGTCCAGAATAGTAGAACCAGAGGACACGGCCTGCGATTGAAGGGGTTAAATTCAGAACAAATCTACACAAACACTTATTTCAGTGAGTGAATAGTGAACCTGTGGAACAGGCTCCCCGGGGAGACGGATGAAGCAGGAAATGTTGGTTCTGTCAATCACAGATTAGATAGTTTTCTTTTTGGAAATAACATTGTGGGATACAGTACATAAGTGGTTTAGGACATATGTCCATGCGACCGTCGGGAAGACGGAAGGTGAACTAGATGGACCTTGGTCTTTTATTCGTCTAGCATTTCATATGTTATTATCATCCCCGGAAAGCAATAACAACCAGGTTCCTACTTATTGCTGGGTAAACAAGAGACGTGTGGAGCAAGGAAACTTGCCTACAGTTTCGCCGCTCGGGAATCAAACCCGGGTCTTCTCGCTTGTGAGCCGAGTGGTCTAACCACTGTGCTATAGGCCTCCACAATTTGACTGCAGTGCAGAATGATTGTGTGCATTTTGTGGGAGATTGCACCAACTCTTGACATATTTCCCAATGTGACTTCACAATTGAAGATAAAAGGGTGAAAAACAATTTGCTTAGACCTGAGAGGAAGCAAAGCCAAAGTGGAAACAACGTGCACCAGACAAATACACTGATAGACGAGAGAGTATGAGTGAGAGAGGGGTCTATGAATGGTGGGCTTGTCATTACCCTCAACGTAAGGACAATGCGGGGACTCAATAAACTGCAATTGAGACTGGAGCGATATAGTATAGGCAGAGCAGAGGTCTTTGGGGCTATAACAACAATAATAATAAAGTGTAGTGACTGTGTGTAGCTTGTGGACGAAACGCACCAACCAATTGCGCACAGCAGCGTCCCACAAACAGTCGCCAATTGAGTGACCAAATTTTTTATTTTTATTCAACGGATTATTACCCCCCGGAAAGCGATCGACTTAACAACTGGGTCTCTGTGTACTGCTCGGTAGGCAGAGGCGTGTGTGGAGTAGGGAAAGCTGCCTACGTACGGTTTCGCTGTGACACCCCCGAGAATCAAAACCCGAAACAAGAACTCTCACTTGCGAGGCGAGGGTGCTAACCACTAAGCTACAGGACTCCTTGAATCTGAGTTGGAGTCCTCTTTGGTTTGCGAGCTTTTGCCAAGTGAATAATCCTTTGGCAACGAGCAGCGAAGCCTCCGAGTGCACTGGAGACAACAGGCGCACTAAAACAAACAGCATGGGAATGCTACAGGAGACCAGCCAAGCCTCCCACACTCTTCAGCTCTGGTGCTCCTCACTCGATGTGCTCGGCCAGTCACGTCTCCATCCAGGCCTTTATTTTCCAGCCCTGCTGAATATCCCTTCCAACCCAGAACCAGCCTTTCCAAGGCAGCAAAAAAAAACAAGAGATTCGGGGTTACAAAGGGCAATTTCAGGGTTGACCACAAAGTAGTATTTCTTTATCCCAGAGGATTGCACTGAAATACGTAAAGCGAACAACAACCACTTAGTCTCCGCGCTTGCTGATGCCCTCCACCTTGTCGAGTCCTGCAGCATCGTGGTTAGCGTGCAGGCAAGAGGAGCCGGGTTCGATTCCTGGCCAGGGCGAGACCTTAGGCAAGTTTCCTTACTCCACCCACACACACACACACACTCACGCCTCTGTTTACCCAGTAGTAAGTAGGAACAAAAACAACTTGCATTTACACAGTGCCCCAGAGTGCTTGACAGTGGAGCACGACACCGAGTCCAGGGGGGGTACTGTAGACACAGTCGAAGAGGAAGACGGGGAAGGCGGAGGGATAGAAGGCGAGAGTTTCGGGGCTGAAAGCGCGGGCGAATGATGGCGCAATGGAGGGCATGGGGGACAAGCAGGAGGCTGGAGCCAGTCGAGTGGAGGCAGCGGGTTGTGGGTCGAGGGGTAAGCAGGTCGGAGAGGTGGGGAGGGGTCAGGGCGCGGAGGGATTTGAAGTTGAGTGGGAGGATTGTGAAATCGAGGTGGTCACAGGCTAGTTTAAAAAAAAAGCAGCTTCTCTCACCCAGGTCCGTGTCCCTGATGCCCATGTAGCTCTCGAGCAGGTCATCCACCTTCTTGATGGCATTCTCTTCAAACACCGAGGGCTGGGAAGAGAACAGGAGACTCCGGTCAGAGCAGTTATGTAATCAGAGGAGGTTACAGGGCACACACATACTCACGCATACATACACACGCGGGGGAGCTCGACGGTGTATCCGCTGGGCAAAGCTTCCAGGATGATGGGGTGTCTGCCTAATAATAATAATAACAATAATCCTGGCAGTTGATACAGCGCCTTATCACGTCTTCGAGACGTCTCAAAGCGCTTCACAGCGCCTTTCGTGCGGGGCAGCGCCTCAAGAGCTCTTAACTCATGTTAAATTAAAGCAAAGTATCTTCATTAACCCTTACGTTTGCAACGTCGTGGTTTTTCACGTCAGGACAAACGTCCCAAAGTGCTTCGCAGGATTCACTGGGAAATGCGGCGACTGAGTATTTTGGGAGCCACACGCAGCAGCCAATTTGCGCACAAACATGTCCCACAAACAGCCACGGGGTGAGTGAGTGACTGATATTTGTGTGTGTGTGTGCGTGTGTGTTGGCCAGGACACCGGCAGACAGAAACTCCCTTCTCTTTCCCAATAGCGCTGCAGGATCTTTATCATCCACCTGAACAGGCAGACAGAGAGCTCAGGTTAATGTTATTATTATCATATAAAGTCTCATCTGAAGGACGACACGACATTAAGAGTCTCATCTTAAATGACACGAGACCTGACATGGGGCTTCAAACCCACACCCTTACGCAGGACACGGATTGAGAACAGAGCTGTGCACAAACTGGCTGCCAGGTTCTCCCGCAGAATACAGTCCCTACGCTTTGTGTTAAAAGTCCCGTGAAGCACTTTTTGAGACTTCCTCTTGAAGTGAAGGGAGTTGCATGAAATGCAAGGAATATCATCACAGAATCCTACAGTACAGAAGGCGCCCCCATTTGGCCCATCGTGCCCATGCCGGCTCTTTGAAAGAGCTACCAACTAGTCTCGCTCCCCAGCTCTTGCCGCATAGCCTTGCAGTTCTTTTCTCTTTTCAAGTAAATATCCAGTTCCCTTTTGAAACCTATTATTGAATCTGCTTCCACCTCCCTTTTAGGCAGCGCATTCCAGACTTTCAACAACTCCGCTGTGTAATAAAAAAGGCTCCTCATCTCCTCTCTGGTTCTTTTGCCAACTGTCGTAAATCTGTGTCCGCCGGTTACCGACTCACCCGCCCGCCAGAGGAAACAGTTCCTCCCTATCAACTCTTATCAAAACTCCTCGTAATTTCGAAATAAAAATGAAAAAAAATAACAATTCAACTTTCCCTTTTGTTTCCGCTGGATATTGCTTAACGTTACCCAAAGGAATGAAAAAGACTGTCAGTGCGAACCAAAATAGCCCAGGGTTTGCAAACAAGTGTGACCTCTCTGTGGGTGGGCCGGGGGGAGAGAGGGGTTGGAAAACCAGGGAAAAGAGAATTACATTAATTTCCTGGACCAGAGAGGGCTTCTTGGAACCGCACAACGTATTCCCAGAATTGCACATGGATCGGGCCACCTGCGCAGCGATTAGATAATGGGAAGACAATCTCCACGTTTGTTCGTCCTTTCTCAGTCATTCCAGATTCATAAGAGTTTATAGCACAGAAGGCCACCTCGTCTGTGCTGGAGCTCTCAACAACAACACCAACAACAAAAATGACATTTGCGGAGCGCCTTTCACTTCGGGAGGACGTCCCAAGGCGCTCTCTCCTCTAACGCACAATCCACCCGTGGAGTCCTGTAGTGTAGTGGTCAGAGAACTCGCTTCACAGGCGAGAGGACTCGGGTTCGATTCCCGGGCTGGGCAAAGCTTTAGGCGAGTTTCCTTACTCCAAAAGTCTCTGTTTACCTAGCAGGAGGTAGGTTATTAATCGGTTGGCGGATCGCTTTCCAGGGGTAATAATCCCTTAAAAAATAATTAAATTTGGTCCCTCAATCCATGACTGTTTGTGGGACTTTGCTGTGGGCAATGGCTTCCCACAAAGTAAACAGTCAATTTAATTTACAATATATTCTGTGAAGCGCTTTGAGATGCCTTAGCGATGTGATAATGCGCTATACCAACTGCAAGGATTATTATTATTACTGAAGCTCTCTAATAAACAATCGACACTGGAGCTCTCTCCTCTATTCCTCGATCCCCACAGGAGCTCTCTATTCTAACCTTTAAATCCCTCTGCGGTCTTGGCTCACCCTATCTATGCGATGTCCTCAAACCTTGCCAACCTGCCCCCTCCCTCCGCCCGGCGGTCTCCAGTCTGCTTCATGTCCCCTGTCCCACCTTGACGGTGAAGCTTTCAGCGTATCTGCCCACACTCTATGGAACTCCATCCCAGAGTCCCTTCAACTCACCCCCTCGCTCACCTCCTTCAGGTCTGCCTCAAGGATTCCTCTCTAACTGCACTGTCAGCCGTCTTCCACCCGACCCATCCTACCTCATTCTCAACTCCGGTGCAAACCCTGGACTGTTCAATGCTTTGGGACATCCTCCCGATGTGAAAGACGCTGTGTAAATGTAAATCTGTATTAAATTCTACTGGAGCTCTCTACTCTAACCCTCAATCCCCATTGCAGCTCTCTACTCAATCCCCATTGGAGTTCTCTACTCTAACCCTCAATCCCATTTGCAGCTCTCTACTCTAACCCTCAATCCCCATTGCAGCTCTCTACTCTAACCCTGTTCCCCTGTTCTTTGCTGGTGCTCCCCCACTGGAACAATCTGCTTTATTCCCATTGTGTTGGTAGAATCATAGAATTTTACAGCACCAAAGGAGGCCATTTAGCCCTTCGTGCCTGTGCCAGCTTTTTTGGAAAGAGCTGCCAACTAGTCCCACTCCCCCCGCTCGTACCCCAAAGCCCGGCAAATGTTTCCTTTTTAAGTAGCTATCCAATTCCCGTTTGAAAGCTATTATCAAATCTGCTTCCACTACCCTTTCAGGCAGTGTGTTCCAGGCCGTAACAAATTCTCCTCACCTCCCCTCCGGCTCTTTTGCCAATTTTCTTAAATCTGTGTCCTCTGGTTTCCCGACCCTCCCGCCAGAGGAAAGTTTGTCCCTATTTACTCTATCGAAACCCCTCATAATATTGAGCAGCTTCTGGCAATGCTGTTTTAGCTGGTGTAGCTCCAGCGGTTACCCAACACACACTCTGGGGTCCCCAAGTCTTGGTTCTTACCAACATACGCCGAATACTCTCTCTGGAATTAGGTTTAGCAAGATGTGTCCCTCGGATGGGGAGACAGCGAGAGAGACACAGGGAGAGAGAGAGAGAATGCACATTCCATTTCCATATCTGGTACACATATGTGGAACACACGTATCAGACGCCCATCTGACCAAGAGAGAAATGCCATGCTGACTCCCCCCTAGTGGAACAAATAAAATGATAATTTGGTCACTCAATCCACGACTGTTTGTGGGACACTGCTGCGCACAATTGTCACTACGCTTCACAGTACATCCTGTGAAGCGCTTTGAGACATCTCAGCGACGTGATGAGGCGCTGTATCAAACGCAAGGACTATTATCATTAGTAGTAGTAGTATTATGATCTGACCTAATCCTATTGTGTTTGCACTGGTGCTCGCTCTCCCGCCCGCACGTCGCAGTATTGTCTCCGGGCGTTTAAAGCACGAGTTGGATCACCCTGACCAGTAACCCGACAGTAGGAATCCTGCTCCGCTGAGGTCCAGAGCTCAGCAGCCCCAGCTGCTGCTCTACGTACTGCAGAGCAGAGGGGAAATCACAGCATGTTGCTGACTAGCACCAGCCTCAACCTAGCAGGTCTCAAGACCCGGAAAGGAGCTTTGCTTTGCTTTTCTGCAGGACGTTCAAGTCATTAACGGCAACGGCTGACATAAAATTCCCAGTCGAACAGGGACTCGTTTCAGTCAGTACCCTCATTTATAAGAATAAGTCTTTGCAGCGCATAATCGCTACTTCAAAGGGCTTCACAGTATTTTGATAATAATCCTCTAATAGTAATAATCCTTGAATTTGACATCGCGCCATATCATATCACTGAGCATTCTCAAAGCGCTTCACGGGATAGACTGTAAAGTGTAGTGACCATATATTTTGTGGGCGAAACACAGCCGGCACTTGCGCTCTGCGACGTCCCACAAACAGTCGTGGATTGAGTGACCAATTTTTTTTAAAAAGGGATTATTAGCCCCAGAAAGCGATCCAACAATCGACTAACAACCGGGTTCCTACTGACTGCTGGTAAATGGACGTGGGTGGAGGAAGGAAACTTACCTCAGGTCCTCTCGCTTGTGAGGCGAGTACAGGACTCCAGTATTTGCTGTGAAGTGCAATGACTCTGCATTTGGAGACAAACGCTGCAGCCAATTTACACACAGCAAAGTCCCACAAACAGACATGAAGCGAGAAGCTGATTTTAACTGGAAGATTGTCGGCCAGACACCAGGAGAGAGGAACTCCCTTCTCTTTTCCTACAGCGCCGCGGGAGCTTTGATGTCCACCTGAGCAGGCAGACGGGAGCTCGGTCTAACATCTCATCCGAAGGACAGCGCAACTGACAATGCAACATTCCCCTCAGCGCTGCACTGGAGCATCAGCTTAGACTAAGTGATTCCAAGTCCTGACGTGGGGGCCTGAACCCTTCTGACTCAGGCGAGAGCGCTATCGACTGAGCCAGGCTGGCGCACGGCGACTGAGCCAGGCTGGCACACAGCGACTGAGCCAGGCTGGCACACACACAGCGACTGAGCCAGACTGGCACACACACAGCGACTGAGCCAGGCTGGCACACACACAGCGACTGAGCCAGACTGGCACACTGCGACTGAGCCAGACTGGCACACACACAGTGACTGAGCCAGACTGGCACACGGTGACTGAGCCGGACTGGCACACAGCGACTGAGCCAGACTGGCACACACACAGCGACTGAGCCAGGCTGGCGCACGGCGACTGAGCCAGACTGGCACACACACAGCGACTGAGCCAGGCTGGCGCACGGCGACTGAGCCAGACTGGCGCTCGACACTGAGGGGCTGAGAGAACCCGGGTCCTCCCACTCGCGAGAGCGCGCTAACCGCTAACCGGCTGCGACGGCTCTACACCCAGGATGCGGTGCTCAGGCTGAACGCTGGACTGCCTAGTGCGGCAGAGCTGGCAGGGGGGATCAACCCCCCACCCCCCACCGCTCGACCACCTACCAAGTCTTCCACAGTGGCCAGGCCTTTGGAGCGAAGTCGCAGCGTCCCTTTCCCCGTCCCCAGCTGCTCCCCGGTCCCGGACCTGCCCCCTCGGGAACGCTGGCCGATCATGTCTGAAAGAGACGAGAGCGAGAGGCGGGGGTTAGTGTGGGTGGGACCGGGCGCTCCCAGCCTCGAGCTGATTCTCTTGGGCACTGAGAATTGACCCTTAACAGCCTGTCCAGACAGTGTGTACGTACTCCACCCTAGTGCAGTCACACACTGGCACACAGCCAGCTGGAGTTACACACGCGCTCACAGCTGTAGTGACACACTCCCTCTCACTACTGGAGCTCTCAATAATAATAATAATCCTTGCATTCGATATAATAATAATAATAATCCTTGCATTCGATATAGCGCCTTATCGCGTCTTCGAGACGTCTCAGAGCGCTTCACGGAATGCAATGTAAAGTGAATCGACTGTATAGTTTGGGGGCTAAACACAGCAGCCAATTGCGCACAGCAGCGTCTGTCCCACAAAAACCATCGTTGACTGAAGTGATCCGCCAATCGACTAACAACCACGTTCCTACTAATTGCTAGGTAAACAGAGACATGTGGATTAAGGAAACCTGCCTAAGGTGTCACCCCCTCCCTGGGAATCGAACCCAGGTCCTCCCGCTTGCGAGCCAAGCGTGGTAACCATTTCCCTGCAGGGCTCCATAAAGTTACACACTCGCACTAATCAACACGAGTTGAGGATTATCAGGAAATTACAGATGAATTGAAGCCAACGACTTGTGGACGTCATAAGCGGGAGAGCAGAGAAGCCATGCTGACACGGCTGACAACTCTCCCAGCGATGCCATGCCAAGATTCAGCCTCGGATCAATCACAGCTTATTCCCTTGCCAGACACTCACCCTGTTCCTCTCTGATCCTCTCAGCTCCCAGCACTCACACTGGGATGGGACCTTAAGGTCGAAGAGGAAGGCTTCATGGGTGATGTGAAAATGTGGAAGGAGGGGACGAGGCGGAGGGATTGAGGGAGAGAGTTCCGGGGCGGAGAGGCTGAAAGCCCAGCCATCGATGGTTGGAGCGGAGGGGGCTGAGGGACAAGCAGGAGTTCGGAGCCAGCCGACCGAAGATGGTGGCGTGGGGTGGGGGGATTCAGCAGCCGGGGAGAATAAACAGAATAACCGAGGGCGCAGAATCTCTCTCTCCACCTCAGGCACTTCATGCCTGATTATAATATTAATAATAACAACAATAGTCCTTCCATTTGACACAGCGCCTTATCACGTGGTTGGGACGTCTCACGGCGCTTCACGGAATATAATGAAGTGTAGCGACTGTGGGCGAAACACACAGCAGCGTCCCACAAACAGTCGTGGATTGAGTGACCAAATTATTATGATTTTTTTGGAGGGATTATTATCCTCAGAAAGCAATCGGCCAATCGACTAACAACCGGGAACCTATTCACTGCTCGGGTAAAGCGAGACATGCGGAGGAAGAAAACTTGTCCAGCCCGGGAATCGAACCTGGGTCCTCTCGGTTGCGAGGCGAGAGCTCTAACCACGAAGCTACAGAATTCCACTGATTATGGTGTGGGGGGGGGTTGTAAAAGTCCAACACAATAACATAATACAGCACTCTCTCCCTGGCTCCACACAGCTATACTTTAGTAGGTCACTGAGCTACAGTGTTAACTCTAACTTTCCCCTCAGATACTCTGCCAAGACCAACAAGCTGACAGATTCCCTCACAAAACTCCAGCAACCCAGAGATGTTTACACGGCTTGTGCAGCTAACAGCAATGAAGAGGGACCTTTAAAGATCATCTTTTCCCGGTCCCTCAGAGATGCCCATCAGATAAAATGCCCAATAAATGTCCTTTGAAGTTGTCCAGCGCCTTGGGACGTCCTCCCGACGTGAAAGGCGCTCAATGAATGGAATCTTGTTGTTGTTGTTGTTGTTGTCCTCGCACAGTTCGGGATCGCAGGCAAGAGAGATAGAGAGAGAGAAACAGAGAGACGGAGAGAAACAGAGAGAGACGGAGAGAGAGACAGACTCACAAATGCCCCCTGTACACAGCAACAACAAGGTACGTTTACACGGCACCTTTCACGTCAGGAGGACGCCACAAGGCGCTGGACAGTGAAGGGTTTGCACCCAAGCTGGGGTTGGGGTCTGGTGGGGTCAAGGGCGGGGGTGGGGGGGTGTTGGATGACCGAAGGTACAGCTGAAGAAAGATCTTGAGACGGGCTGCGAAGGAGGAAAGCCTCCGGGATGGAGTTCCAGAGGGTGGGGGCAGAAGAACTGACCGCAGGCGGTGGAGCGGACAGGATGGGGGCCTGGGGCTGACCAACAACAGAAATATTAATAAGAGTGTCATTAACACGGGATAAAGTCTCGTAGCACTTCAGAGAGATCTGGGTTAGATTCCCTGGCGGGTCAGGACAGGGCGAAACCTTCAGGCAAGTTTCCTCACTCCACACACGCACACGCACGCCTCTGTTTACCCAGCAGTAAGTAGGAAGCCGTTTGCGACCGGTCGACTGGCAGATCATGTTTCCGGGAGTAATAAACACTTCAAACTAAAAAAAAAATTGATAACTTCAACCCCACCACTGTTTGTGCGCAATTAGCAGTCGCGTTTCGCCCGCAGAAAAAAAATACAGTCAATTCACTTTACAGTGCATCCTGTGAAGCGCTTCGAGACGTCTCGGGAGACGTGATAAGGCGCTGTATCAAATGCGAAGATTATTATTATTATTATTATTGTAATACTGCATTATTATTATTAATGCTGCAAAGTGAATTGACTGTATATTTTATGGGTGAAAGGAGTAAATGAAGACACTCAGCTGGTAATAGATGGGGCTGGAGTGTGCAGTAAAGCTCAATGGACTGAGCAGAGGAGCAAACAGGGCTCCCATGTAATTTATAGACACACACACACACACTCTCGCTCTCTCTCTCTCTCTCTCTCTCAGGCAAGCCAGGTAGATGAGATTTCCACCAGCGGCTGATCCTGCGAGCTCCACAACGGCTTTGGCTGTGCCGTGCCGGGTGATGCCAGAGCTGACAGGAAGCGCTGGCTTATTCCGATCAGTCAGGAAGCCCGGGGTTCGGCCTGGAGCCAGCGAGTGGGTTTGATGTGTGAAAGCGCCGAAAACCACATTGTAAAAACTGGGCCTGGAATTCACTGCGTAAAAGCCGCAACGTCACTGGATTTAAAGGAGACGATCGGAGCCCTGAGAGGGTGTGTTGCCAGGTCTTCCCTAACCCACCCACCCCTCGCAATTACCTTCCCACCTCCTCGTTCTTCGCTCGCCCCCCCCCCCACCAAATCGTGGAGTCCTGTAGTGTAAGCGAGAGGCCCCTGGTTTGATTCCCGGGCAGGGAGTAACCTTAGGAAAGTTTCCTTACTCCACACGTCTCTGTTTACCCAGCGGTAAGTAGGGACAGGGTTGTTAGTCGATTGGCGGATCGCTTTCGAGGAGTAATGATCCCTCAAAACGAACGTTTGAGGGACACTGCTGTGCGACAATTTGCTACCGGGTTTCACTCACAAACTGCGCAGTCGATTCACTTTACAGCATATCCCGAGAAGCGCTTTGAGACGTCCCGAGGCTGTGATAAGGCGCTGTATCAAATGCAAGGATTATTATTATTATTATTAACTCAGACCTGTTTCATCAGCAGTCAGTTTTCAGTCACGTAACATGCACGCGAGGTCACACAGCTCCCAGGAATTCTCTTCGAAGTCATTCCACCTCGCGCCTTCCCTCTCTGTTTTCGAATCCAGACACCCACCGTGGAACAAGTTCGCTGCTGGTGCCTTCGATCACCTCCCTCCCACCCCCTATCTCATCTTCCAACCTGCTCAGTACCTTGTGACGCATTGAGACATTTTCCTACGTGACTGTCCTTAAACGTGTGGGGGAGAGGGGGTGGGTGTGAAAAGAGGTAAGCGGGATATCCTCGTTACCAAGCTGAACTGGCCCCAAGGTGACATGCCCGGCAATGGATTGCCAGAACAGTGCCATCCCTCTGTGACGGTCTCCAGTCCCGGTTCCTGAGCCAGGAGGGGCCGCAGGGTCCCAGGGCACTCACTGCCGATGGCAGCACAGCCCGGCCTCGGCTCATCGGCAGGAGCCGACCAGTCACTGGGGGCAGGGAATCCTCCCCCTCAGCTCCTGTTAACCCCGCAGCCAAAGCCCTGACTGACTGGGGAGGGTGGTCCTCGCTGGACAAGCAGCGGGAAAGCTCGGCCAGACTGGGCTCTCCATGGCGAGCTATGCGTCTTTTTCTTTAAGTTCAAATGTTGCCCTTTGTGTGGGGGCAGAGAATAGAAGAAGCAGTGATGCAGACGGCTCCTCACTCTGGTCTGTGAGCCTAAGCGCTGCGAGACACTACCCCACGTGAAGGCTGCTACGTAAGGGCAAGTTGCTGTGTGTCATTTGGTTTCACCCCCCACTGCTGCAGACAAATCCAGCTCTGAACGATTGCCCTACCCTCCCTGTAGAGTCAGCACACAGCTCCCTCTACTGATGTTTGGTCAGCAGCCGGGTGTCTGGCGCATGCGGAAACCCATCGCTGTGTTTAAAGAGTCTCCAAACCCAGCTGAGAATTCCCTGCGTCCCACCTACACGTGGAAATCCCAGAGACAAGACCGTTTGAATGGAACGCGCTCTCTCTCTCTCTCTCCCTTCCCGGAGGGACGCTTCCCGATTACCTAATTCCGGTAAGTATTAGGCGCAGGTTGGCAAAACGCTTGGGTGGTGGGGGGTGTGTGTGTGGGGGGGGGGGGAGGAAGCCCAGAGTGTGTGTTGGGGGTACTAAAACCACACGCAGCTTGGCCATCGGTATCATTGTCTGGCCGAGCTTTCCCGCTGCTTGTCCAGCTAGGACCACCCTCCCCGCTAGTTAGGGCTTTGGCTTGCAGGGTTAACAGGAGCTTCTTAGTTGCAATGCATCATCTCCACGAGCCTTGCACCCCCCCCACCACCCAACACCCCCACCCCATAAAACCTCCCTAACCAACCTGCATTGGTGACTTGCCTGTTAATCAAGACAGTTTGCTGCGCCGCTCAGGGCAACCCTTGCACTGCACTGCCACCTGCTGACCATCCTACAAGGTGCCACTCACTCACTCACTCTCACTCACACTCACTCACACTCACTCCACAACCCACCCAAACTTGAATCAAAGATTGATTCGAACGTAAATGAGGTTAAGGCGGAAAACTCAATGGCCAGTCTGTGCAGCCAACGTCCCCCGACTTGCATTCACGCAGCGCCCCTCACGCTCTCCGAGCCGCGCCTCGGAGAGCTTCACGCAGGATAAGATCAGAGGGAAGGAAAGAGGGTTGTGGTTGGATGAGTAACGAGTTTCCAAAGAAAAATCAAAAAGGCAAATTATTTTCTGCGTGCGTATTAGCAGCCACTTCTGCTCAGTCTGGGCGGGGGCGACTGATTCTATTTTATCCGCCTGTCTGGCAGTTCTCCAATATATTGGGGGAAGTGGGAGGGGGAAGGAAGGGAAGGAAAAAAGACATTCCTGTCACAAACGCCTGCAATAACACACAATAATAATCCTTGCAATTGAAACAGCGCTTTATCACGTCGACGAGACGTCTCAAAGCCCTTCACGGGATTTTGCTGTGATGTGGAGAGGTTGTGTGCATTTATAGACGATACCTGGAATAACAAGAGGAATCCTTGCAATTGCTACAGCGCCTTATCACAGCTTCGAGACGTCTCAAACCGCTTCACGGAATATGCTGGAAAGTGCAGTGACTGTATATTGCGTGGGTGGTGTTCGGGAATTCAACCTCTCTGCCCCCTCCCTTTGGGACTCCATCCCAGGGTCCCACTGCTTAACCCATCCCCTCCTGTTTCAAGGTCCATCTCAAGACCTTCCTCTTCGACCGCGCTGGTTAGCAGGGGAACCCGAAGACTGTCCGGCAACTCGGGATGTCTTCTGCCCAACGTGAATGGACTAAATGAATGACAAAACAACAACAACCGAAGGCATGGTCAAAGAGGGAGGTCTTTAGACGGGACTTGAAGGAGGCAAGAGATGAGCAGCCAACAAAGAGACTCTGAAAGGGGGGGGGGGGAAAAGAGGACACTCACCGAACGCTTTCTGAGGCTCCACCAGTCGCAGAGTGAACACCCTCCCCCTCACCAGGCCCTTCAGCATCTTGGCCACCTCAAAGTGGCGGGTCGCGATTACGCTCTGCCCGTTGATGGACTCGATCAAATCTCCCACGAAGATCACGTTCATCCTGTCCACGATGCTGCCCTCTTTGATCCTCTGCCGGAACAAGGCACAGGGTTAGAGGGGGTGGGCGGGGGGGAGGCTCTGTCCTCTGGAGATCGGCCACGAAAACCTACAGCAAAGGAGCCGGTGGGGAAAGGTTCCGACGGAAATCGTTCTGACGGCCGGCCAGAGCGGTTACGGTGTGGAACAGCCAGCAAGAAGTCACATCAGTGGGGGCACGCAGGAGGTGACAACGGTTGAGGGCAGAATCTGCGTTAGCTTTCCAAAGGGAACTAGATAATAATAATAATAATAATCCTTGCATTTGGCATAGAGCCTTGTCACATTATCGAGACGTCTCAATAGTGCTTCACAGGATACACTGTAATGTGAATTGACTGCGTATTTTGCCGGCGAAACGCAACAGTGCCCCACAATCAGTCGTGGAGTGAATAACCAAACCACTATTATTATTTATTTATTTACTCATTCATTTATTTATGGGATTGTTACCCCTGGAAAGCGATCCGCAAATTGCCTAACAACTGGGTTGCTCGTTACTGGGTAAACAGAGGCGTGTGGAGTAAGGAAACTTGTCTAAGGCTTCGCCCTGACCCCGAGCGGCCCCTGGCACGGTTAATGTAAGAGGGCAGTCCCCAAAACAGTAGGGAACTCCCTAACCATCCATCACACCAGCGTGTGAAACCAATCTGTCTTTAACACCACCACCAACACCCAGTGTGTGTGCAACAGGACCCGACCAACTGCACAAGATAACTTGGGGTCGGCCAACGCCCAGGATAAGCTCATTTAACTGCCCGGCACTTACATCACAGAGTGTTACAGCCTTCCTGAAGTGAGTGGAGGGCGGGCGGGGAGATAAGAAAATGACACGATACACAGCTGTTTGTGGCACGCTGCCACGTTTCGCCCACAACATACACAGTCACTTACACTTTACAGCACACTGAGTACATACTGAGTCCCGCAGCTCAGCGGTTAGAGCACTCGCTTTGCAAGCGAGAGGCCTGGGTTTGATTCCCGGCAGAGGGCGAAACCTCGGGCAAGTTTCCTTACTCCACACACCACACACACCTGATAATAATCCCTCCCAAAAAAATAATAAATGGGTCATTTCAATCCACGGCCGTTTGTGCGGGGACGCCGCTGTGCGCAATCGGCCGCCGCGTTTCGCCCACAAATATACGGTCAATTCACTTTACAGTCTATTCTGTGAAGCGCTTTGAGACGTCGAGAAGACGTGAAGAGCGCTATAGCAAATGCAAGGATTGTTATTATATCCTGTGAAGCGCTTTGAGAGGTCAAGCACTCGCTCCGGGATCCCAACCCGCGTGAACGGCACACTGTTGGTTGTTATATGAAAGCACATTGTTGGTTGTTCTTGTCTCAACGATGTGATAAGACAGGGATCAAGTGCAAGGATTATTATCATCATCATTATTATGCACTCGTCCATTGAGAAAATTGACATTTCTCCTGTGCCTTTCGCATCGGGAGGATGTCTCGGAAGGCGTTTAAATAACCACAGCAGCCGAGGGCACAAACCTGGGCGGTTTCCGTGCTCAAAGGGAAGCTCAATGTTGGACAACAGGAGGCGTCCCATTGCGACAGTCAACTCCCGGGAAAGAGCCAAAATGCAGAGCAAAGCTCCTCACATGTCACCTTCATTAACGCGCAAATGAACCAAGCCTGAGTGAGTCAATGTACCACACCGCCCGCCACTGTCTCACAGCTCAAGGAGACAACCAATTCAAAGCCCAATAATCTCCACAAAAATACACACACAGAGCACACACACACACACACACAGAGCCCACACACACACACACACACAGAGCCCACACACACACACACAGAGCCCACATACACACAGAGCCCCCCCACACACACACACACACACACACACACACACACAGAGAGCCCACACACACACAGAGCCCCCACACACACACACAGAGCCCACACACACACACACACACACACACAGAGCCCCCCCCCCCACACACACACACACACACAGAGCCCACACACACACATAGAGCCCACACACACACAGAGCCCACACACACACACACACACACAGAGCCCCCCCCCACACAGAGAGCCCACACACACACACACACAGAGCCCACACACACACACACACATAGAGCCCACACACACACACAGAGCCCACACACACACACAGAGCCCACACACACAGAGCCACCACACACAGAGCCCCCCCCCCCCCACACACACACACCACACACCCCACACACCACACCACACACACACACACACACACACCCCCACACACACACACCACCACACCACACACCAGAACCCCCCCACACACACACACAGATCCCCCCCACACACACACACAGTGCTGGCAGTTTGAGCCCTTCAGACATTGTCCGTGACGCGACGTGAGGAGGTATAATTTCCTATGAAGTACCTTTGGATTGGGGTTAGGGGTGAGGCAAACGCAACAGCCAATTTGTGCGCAACCCTGAAGTGAGCGACCGATTTCACTTGGGGTGGATTGTTGGCCAGGACACCGGGCGAGAGAGAGAGAACCCCCCCCCCACCCCCCTCTTCTCTTTCAGAATCGCACCTCAGGATCTTTTAATGTCCACCCGAACAGGCGCGGACGGTGAGGCGGGGGAGCTCAGACTGTCGCGCCCGAAGGATGGCACCTCCAATGGTCAGAGACGGTTCAAGACATGCCGTGTGCCTGCGACTGCCAGGGTGACGGAAGGCGACCTGGTCGGACCTGGGGTCTTTCTTCGGCGAGCATCTCCTCTGCTCCTCGCGAATGGTGAGCGAGCGACTATTTCGGGAAGAAGTGGGCGAGGATTTAAGATTAGAAACCGGGAGAGCAAAAGAGGAAGCTGGGAAGGATCGTTGCTCCCGGGGGATTTTTTTTGCTGGACTGGATATCGGAGCAGTTATAACTGGGCGGCGTTCAATGGGAATGAGGACAAGTTGCATTTACGTAGCGCCCTTCAAAGCATATCAAACGTACCAAAGGATTTCACGCAACCAACTGAGCCTGAGCTGGGGGGGGAACGAGGTAGATTGGGGAGGAGAGGGGGTGGGGGGGGGGCGGGGGAGTGAGGAAGGGAGAGAAGTGACCAAATGTGCAGTTAAAAAAGTCTTAAGGTGCGTAGAGAGGGTATCAGAGGGCATAAGGAAGGAATTGGGAGCTAATAATAATCCTTGCACTTGATATGGCGCCTTTTCACGTCGAGACATCTCAAAGCGCTTCACAACGCTTTCACTTCACACTGTAAAGTGTTTATTTTTTGGGGGCGAAACCCGGCCACCAATTAAGTAAGATAAGAGTTATGGCAGATCCAGAAGGTTGTGGGATCAAACCCCCCCCCCCCCCCACGTCGGAAATTTGAACTCGCAGAGTCGAGGCCAGGCCGATTTCATCTGCCCACCCACCCACCGCCCGCCCCACCACCCATTTCATCTGGCCCACCCACGCCCTCCATCAACCGGAAATGTTATGTTTCTGGAAGGGAAACACAAATCTATTGCTTATGGGGCCCACCGTCTTTTCCCAAATAGTGCATCCGGCCCTCACCAGACAAAAGGTTGGACCCCAAACCCCCGCCCCCACCGCGGCTTCTTTGGAGGAGCAAATCAGGGCTCAATGGCTCAAACCTCAGCGCCTTGGGACGCCCTCCCGATGTGAAAGGCGCTGTACAAATGTAATCTGTTGTTGTTGTCAAATGCCCATTTTCTGTGCTGTGGATTGCTATTGTTCGATGGGGTTTTCCCCCCCCACCACCCCCCAGCCGTGTGTCTGTCAACACACGTGGAAACCCACCACCGTTGCTTAAGGGACTCCAAACGCGCATCATGATAATAATCCTTGCATTTGATATAGTGCTTTTCACATCTTCGTGACGTCTCAAAGCGCTTCACAGAATCTACTGTAAAGTCTCTAAACCCAACTGCGAATTCCATGCATCCCACCCACACATGGAAATACCAGAGATAGATTGTTGGAAGGTTAAGAGCACTCGCCTCGCAAGCGAGAGGCCTGGGTTCGATTCCCGGCACCTTGTGCAAGTCTCCTTACTCCACGCACACACACCTGATAATAATCCCTCATAAAAAAAATAATAATTTGGTCACTGAATCCACGGCTGTTTGTGGGGGCACTGATGTGCGCGATTGGCTGCCGCGTTTCACCCACAAATAAGCAGTCAATTGACTTTACAGTCTATTCTGTGAAGTGCTTTGAGACGTCGAGAAGACGTGAAAAGTGCTGTATCAAATGCAAGGATTGTTATTATGATTCGCGCCCTCTCTCTCTCCCTGGAGGGACACATCCTGCTTACCTAATTCCAGAGAGTATTAGGCGCAGGTTGGCAAGAGCCAAGGCTTGGGGGGACCCCAGAGTGTGGGTTAGGGTAACTGCTGGTGCCTTAACCAGTTAAAACCGCATCGCTTGCCATTGATATCTCCGTCTGGCAAGCTTTCCCACTGCTTGTCCACTCTACCCATTAGGGTATTTGATTTGCAGGCTTAACAGGAGCGGTGTGGGAGGATTCCCTGCCCCCAGTGACTGGTCTGCCCTTCCAGGTCCTGCTGATGAAGGGGGAAGACCAGGGAGAGGGAATCCTCCCACTCAGCTCCTGTTAACCTCACCTTATTCTCAGGATGGATTTGACTCCAAAAAGTGAGAGTTCATTCACTCAGCCCCTTCAATAAGAAAGCCACCCACCTTTATGAAGGCGTAACCTGCCCCGTTGTCGGTGATGGTCAGCCCTAAAGCGTCCTCAGACTTGTAAATCTCCACCTCCTTCCTCTGCCCTTTGATGTGAGCGAAGATGAAGTCTTCAAGCCCGATTTGTCCCCCCAATAGCTTATCCATGTCCACCTTGTGCGTGTTCAGGGTGCAGAACATGATCTGCGGGAAGGAAACAACAACAACAACGAAATTACATTTGCAGAGCGCCTTTCACGTCGAGAGGACGTCCCAAACGCTGAACAGTCAGGTGTCGGGGCCCGAGCATGAGGGAGGGGTGGGGTAGGGGTGAGGGAAGGCAGAGAGGCGGGAGGAAGACCAAAGGCAGGGTCTTGAGTCCAGGATCGAAGAGCAGGGTCTTGAGTCCGGCCTTGAAGGAGGCGAGGGAGGAAGCGAGGCGAAGGGACCGTGGGATGGAGTTCCAGAGTGTGGGGGCAGAGAGGCTGAAAGCCCGGCCACCGATCATGAGAACACACGAGCTGCAGAGTTTTGGATGATCTGCAGGTTGTGAAGGGAAGAGTTGGGAAGGCCGATGAGGAGGGACTTCCCGTAATCGAGCCTTGAGGTGACAAATGTGTGGGTGAGGGTTTGGGCAGCCTGAGGGGTGAGGCAGTGGAGGAGTCTGGCAATGTTGCGGAGGTGGTGGCAGGCAGTGCCGGTCATGGCGCGGATGTGGGGGAAGAAAGAACAGTTCAGGGTCAAACAAGACACCCAGGTTCCTGACTGAATTAGTGAGGTTGAGTGTGCAGCCGTGGAGGCTGATGCTGCCAGCGCCCGAGGTGCGGAGGGACTTGGTCTTGCTGACGTTGAGTTGGGAGAAAGTTGGCCCTCGTCCAGGATTTGATGTCGGACAGGCAGTCGGTCAGGACGCCAGTAGTCCTGGAGTTCAGGGTGGGAGGCAGAGTGGTGGAGTGGGTTCCCAGAGCAGCTGACAGCTCGCGGGGCAAAGCAACAACCGACACGTCACACGAACGACAAGCCCGGAATGCCGTCTGCGGTCAGGATGCTCACCCGACATCAGTCCAACCGAGTGGAAAAACTCAGCGTGCAAACAAGAGATGAAATCAGGGAGTGGGGGGTGTGCATTGGACAAAGCGCACACACCCTTCAGGGCAATAAAAGTGTTGATCTTCCTACTCCCTCGAGGTATTGAATCACGCGCTCACGCTGATCAACAAGGCAGAGCACCTGTGTTTTGCGCAGTTCTGCACATTTTCAACAGCAAAACATTAGCCCTTTCATAACCATTGAGTGACCATTTTTTTTCGGGGGGGGGTGGGGGTGGGGGAGAGTTAACTACTCACTGCTAAGTCAACAGTGACGCGCGGAGCGAGGAAACTCGCTTAAGGTTTCACCTCTTTATCTCTTCTCAGAGTCACTCCCCGCAGGTGTAACTCCCCCGGGCGACCCTAAAAGAGCGAGAGCGTTGGGGGCCCCCTCCCCGGAAGGCACACTGGGTGTAAATGCTGGGGAGGCTGACCAGCTAAAAACTAAACCTCCGCAACAAAAGCCGACGTGGCCGGGACCACTCGGCGGGTCAGGCAGCATCTATGGAGAGAGGAGAGGGAGTCAACGTTTCGGGTGGGGGTGGTTAGGGGGCCAGACAGTGATATCGATGGCCGAACTGCGCGGGTTTTAGCTGTTAGACTCCAGCTGTTACCCCCAACGCCCACTCTGGGACCCCCCCGCACCCTAACCCCCGCCCCCCCACTCCAAGCCTGGGCTCTTGCCAACCCGCGCCTAATACTCTCCGGAATTAAGCGAGCAGGAGACAGCCCCTCGGAGGACCAGATGGTGCGTTCTGTTCCAGGGACAGGAATTTCCACGCGAGGGGTGGGATACACGGAGCTCGGTTGTCGTGGCGCTGTTGCTCGGGGTGGGGGTGGGGGGAGTGGGGGGGAGGGGGGAGGTGTGGGTGGGGAGAGGGGGAGACACAATCACCATCGTTGTCACCGCTCCACAAAGTGGCTCAGTGCCCCGTCCCTCAATTTCCCGTCTACCCCCTTTTTTCCCCCCAAATTCCTTGCCCCTACATTCCCTCCTCCATCTCCCTCCCCATCACCCCCCCCCCCACGCCTTCCTCACCCTATCCCCCCTCGCTCCTCCCTGTCTGCCGACCCATTACCCCTCCCTCACCCATTCCCCCCCACCGCGCACACTGCTCCCCCTTTCCCCTCTTCTTCTCCCCCACACACTCCTCCATTCACCCCGTAACCCCCTCCGCTTCGATACCCGAGTCCCCCCTCTCGCTTCTTACCCCACACCCCCACTGCCCCTCCCCACACATTCGCCTCACACTCCTCCCCTCCCCTCCCTCCTCCCTCCACCTCACTCACCCTCCCTCCCTCCTTCACTCACTCCCTCACACTCCCACCTTCACTCCCCCTCGTCATCTCCCCTTCCTTCCCTCCCACTCCCCACCCTCTGCCACCCCCTCCCTCGATCTCTCTCCTCTCCCTCCTCCCTATGCCCCCACCCCTATCTCTCCCTCTCTCACCCCCTCCCTCTCCCTCCCTCTCTCCCCATCACTCTCACCCTTCTCTCTCTCTCCCCCTCACCCCCTCCCCTCACTCCCCTCCCTCTCACTCCCCTCCCTCCCTCCCTCTCTCACCCCCTCCCCTCCTCCTCCTCCCTCCCTCTCCTCTCTCACCCCCTCCCTCTCTCACCCCCCCTCACTCCCCTCTCCTCTCACCCCCTCCCTCTCACTCC